ATTCTTGCTCACGTTTTGGTATTTCTCTTTCGCAATTGCACCAGTGTGACGTCACACAAAAGTTATTCTCAAAAATCCTCTCTGATCGGCGCAATCTTGTATTCTATCATTCTTGGTTGCTAGGAGGAAGTTTGACTTTTTCTCGTTCAACGCTAAACCAATCTACTCTGCCTCCAAAGAAATGTCAGGGGCTGGCTGATATATATAAGACATGGCCCTATACCGAAAAGCAAGGCAAAAGTGCCCCAGTAAGCTGGGACTAAGACAGGAGTGACGTACGGGAATGATTCGCATTGTCTAAAACTTCGTTTGGCGTCAAAGGCTTCTGCCGGTTTCAACAGAGCATAACGCACCCAAATATGATGACTTGTGAAGTCTTTAAAAACATATTTATATTAATTTCCAAAATATATTTGTCTGCTTTTAAGTACAACTATCTTCACAAATAATGTACAATTTAAAAATTTAATACTCCATCCGTGGGTTCTACCAAAACTTTTTTTTCGGTTCAGCATGGGCTTTCGTCATCCTGCAGCAATAAAATTTTAATTATCTATGCCTTTGTTATTTCGGTCAACAGTCGGAAAAAAATTCTCACATACCCTAATATCCAAACATATGAACATAAATTGATATTCGGGTTGTTCGAATTTCCAAGAAAGCCGATCTTAGACTTTTCGATTGACTCTGTACAGTCGACTTTAAGAGTCGACCGATCGACGAAGAAAAGTCGACTTTTTTCGACATTTTATTAAAAAAATGTTTTAATTATACTCTGCGTTTAACTCATATGTGTGAAAATTTCTCAACTGGACCTCGGATTTCAGTCAAGTTCGAATTTTTGCGTGAAAATTTGTTGGTAAAGAGGTTTGTAGATGTGAAAGGGATTCTGAGAATTTTTTTGAAAAATTTTAATTGTAAAGTTTTTGTAAGCAAATATATTTTTAAGAAATCTTTTTTTCAAAACTCATTTTCTCTTAAAATATTTGACGAAAGTTGATGAATTTTTTTTTTTGTAAGCGTAGTGCTTAGAGCTTTAAAAAAAATATTTTTGTAATTTAGAAAATTTTTTTTTTTTAAATTTACACATTGTAAATTATCAAGTTGCATTAAAAATATGTTCTCAATGAGCGTTTTCTATTTCGTTTATATTTTCAAAAACTGCATTTATTCAAGAAAATATTTGTAAAAAAAAAATGTGTTAGATCTTTTTTGTTTTTGACTTACAGCAATATTTGTCACAGCGCGCACGCATCGTGAACCATGCACGCTCACCGCCTATGTGCGCAACGTGTTCACTAGAAAGCGCGTACAGGAGCAACTAACAATTTCTTACTTATTTCCGACTTTTAACGTAACCTCATATAATAGTGATGGCATTTATGGTATTTTTAAGGCATTTTTGGATTAAGCTTGGTATGTGAATAGCTCAGTGAGAGGAAAGACCAATATGTTTGCATGTATGTATATAAAAAAAATATTTATTGGACCAAAAAGTAGTGGGTAGGCACTGTGGCCAATGGTAATCAACTATTACCACCTCCGCATGGTTGTAAGCCATGCAGA